AGGGAGGGAGGGAGGAAGGGGGAGGGAGAGTAAGAGAGAGAAGGCAGGCAGGCAGGCAGAGGGAGGGAGGAAGGGAAAAAGGAGACTGCTGAAAGTTAACATTAACCACTAGGGTGGAAAAATTACCTTGCAACTAACCAGGCAAGCAGTGATTTTTATAGCCAAGGTTCTCCAAATATTTTTACAGTTTAATTTTAATAAAACAGGTTAAAATTAAATGAGTCTTTAAAAAACTGATTAATAACCTTTAAAAAATGTTTATCATTAAGTCTCCAGGAAAGACTCTATAATTAATTTCTAACCTAGTTGAAATCAAAGAATAAGCTCCCTTTATGAAATGACCAAGTTCCAGAGCTAGACAGTAAATACTGACTGCATAACACAATAAAAGATAGCCATTTGGAAAATTAGTACAGCAAACCAGATGGTTAAAAGGAAGAATTAAGCAAAGTTCCAACCAGACAGGCAACCTGGTAGACATAAAACTGTGTATTTAAACTTTTATCAGTCTTGGTCTCCTCATTATATATGGAATAACAATGATGCCAATTGGTTGTTGTAGGGATTAAATGACATGAGTAAAACAACACAACACCTTTTCAATAGGCTTAATTTAAATTTGATTACAATTTTTTAAAAGCTAACTGAGATATGGAAAAATATTTATTTTTTAAATATAAAAATTTTAAAAATATTTTTTAGTTGTAAATGGACCTTTATTTTATGTATTTATACGCAGTGCTGAGGACAGAACCCAGGGCCTCACATGCTAGGCAAGCACTCCACCACTGAGCGACAACCCCAGCCACTCTATATAAAATTTTAATAAATCTGTTTTAATCATTCCAAGTCAATAAATTCCCATTAGAACAGCCTAAATCACTTAAATATAACTTTATCTCAATTTTTCATTTATATATCTTCTTTTCTAAGTAAAATATAAGCTTCTGAAAGATAGGGATACCCCCTTGATTCACCTTTCTCTCTTTAAACCCAATAAATATATATGGACAGCTTAGGGAAATAACTTCCTTTGTAATCCACAGTTGGGAAAGCACCACTTGGGAAATTAAATGTATGAAGTAATCAGGCGACAGTATCCTGGACTGTTAATGTGGGGAGGGGGGGGGGTCCTTATCCCATGAACAGAATTACTTCTAGGGAAGTCATGCTCTGACAGTTGATACAAAAACATTTTACATATCACTGGGAATCAGCTAGTCTTATTACAAAGTCAGCCACAAAAATCTAGAAAAATAAACTTTAAAGGATTTATTACCTGCCTATCATTAAAACAGATTCCCTAAACCATGCCTCCTAACAATAAGGAGACAGAATCTGACTCTTCTTTATGTAACAAACAAATCCCCTACTTATAAAAATATGTTATCTCCAGCAAATAACGGCAATATATATATATATATATATATGTGTGTGTGTGTGTGTGAGTGTGTGTGTGTATATATATATGAGAGACATATATAGATAGGTCTGTATCTAGATAGATAGATCGATCGATCGATCTAGCTTTAAAATTATTTTTGAAAGCTTAATAGCTAGATTAAAGTGTTTATCACTGGCTGCTTAGATAAAGCAGAAGTATTAGACTCATATGTATCCACTCAAAGTTCATATTACTAAATGCGGACAATGATTTCATATGGAACTTTTGCTCCTAAAATTTCTCAAACAGTATTTCAATTAATATTTTATGTTTTTTAAAAAATCATCATCCTATATGAACTAAAACAAACATACCTTAGTGTTCATAATAAATATACATGAGAAAAAATGTTGATAATGCCAACCTCTCTAAAATTCTGAAACATCACATCTCTCATTCCAACTAATCTGAAATGTTTTAGTACATGCCACATTTATGCTTGATTGTGTAAGCTACCTCTTATTGAAATGGAGTAAACAGAATTGCTAAAAGAAAGCAATCACATACTAGATTTATGGATTTGTAGGTTACTAGTTTACCAAATGAAATGTTAAGAATACAATTTCTGAAGCTTGAGATAGGTATTTTCCATAAATATTTCCATAAATACAGATGGAAAGCAGAATTTTAATGCAGAAATGGAAATGTAGGACATTTTCAGCAACATTAACCTGTAACAGCATAATAATAAATTTTACACTTTGACAAGTTTATAAAATAAAGACAATAATAAACTCCAGCTAAGAATACTAACAAATAGTCATGTAATAACATCAGATTTCTACATTTATTTACAAAATTTTACATTTTCGAAGCCACTAGTCACTTAAAACACATCTCCTAAGTTTTCTTCTTTTTTAATAAGTTAATCTTATTTATTTTTTTTTTAATGTGGTGCTGAGGATGGAACCCAGTACCTCACACATGCTAGGCAAGTGCTCTAACACTGAACCACAATCCCAACCCCCATCTACTAAGTTTAGCTCAATATTTTCTATATGACTAACTTGTTGCAGCTAATAAAATGAGAACTCTGATATGCCTGATCATTATTATTCTATGTCCAAATCATGTAAACAATTAGAATTTAAGCTATACATATTTCTAAATAAATAGTACTTCAATAGTTAAGAAATCCTGATGCAGACAGGTAACACTTAGGCTTATTCTTCATTAGTAAAGTTTAATTATTATCAGACTACACAGCTTGAAGCTAAATGTTATTTTGCAGTGATTCTAAAAGTGAAATTATAAACCTTAGAGATGGATGTTCACGAAATTGGTCAGACTACATTGTATTAGCATTATTAGAGATTAGAAGTGGTGGCAGCTTGTTTCTTACATGCATAAGAAACTGACACCTATAAATGGATTTTTAAAGTGATCTCTGTACCTTGCCAAAGACGAGAAAACTGGACATAAAATGAATTAGAAATGTTAGATAGAATAAACAAAATCAACCGTATAGTACAGCAAGAGTACTTTAAAATTTTAAAGAGAAAAATGTTAAACATTCCTTCACGTTGTAATAAAATTCTACACAAATATAAACTCCACCTTAGATTTGTTAATTAGAAATTTCTGTGGCCACAAAAAATTCTAAACAAAGGAACTTAACTATATGATTACTAAGAACATCCTTAATAATTATCATAATTATTTAAGTTAACAATTTCATTCTAAATGTAGAAAAAATGGAGAAATACAACTATCACTAAAATTGCTTATAGGAAGTACAACTGGTAAGACTGATATTGGTTTTAAAAGTTTTAGCAACTATGTAATTAGATATTCTAAAAACCCCAAAGTCTATTATACAACTGATTTCAAATATCCTTTTCCTTGAATAATCTTCCTTTCAATGAGACAGTTGACATTACTAAAGAAAAGGGAAACAACTATGTAGAGCCGAGAAAATGTTGGCAAAACACAGTGTTTTGTGTGAGTTTAATTAAACATTCTGCCTCATTTAAGCTTAGAATGGTCAATAAGGAAATCCCGTGAACATAGTCTTTACAGATAAGAACTTTTAACATATAAACAAATTGGAAGGCATTTTTAAAAATAAGATCAGAAAAATACAAGTCCAGTGGAATATAGCAAAACAACACTGAGGTTTTTCAAGTAAACTAATTAGCAACAAAGCCAGAACCCTCAGTAAAACTTTGGTATACCATACTAACTGGCTCTCAGTGCTAACTTAAAATATCTACATTGGTTATATAATTTAGTCAGATACATTGCTGAAGATGGCTGCAAATTCCTATAATGCATAAAAAAATAACTAAAGAATTAAAAAAGAATTTTATTAAGAAAGATTTTTAAAGGGGGGGAACCCTCATACTTTGCTATCCTTTTCTGAATAAGTCAACCCCAAAGCCATTAGATGGGGTAGAACAAGGAAGGGAAGAAACTTCATGATTCAGACCAGGGTACCAAGAGACTAGCATTCTACACAAAGAAGAGCTGCTTGGCATAGAAAGTAAAGAGTTCAAGCAAAATGAGGAGATCACTATA